ATTTTACTTTTTAAACAAATCACAAAGAAACAGAGCTATAGAGAAAAATCGTTTTTAACGATTAAATCTTTTTTTTATTTTAAATTTTAGGAAATTAAAAAAAAAAATTAAAAATTAAAGTCTTAGTTATGCAAACTCTTTCGTTAATTATTCTTAAAACAAAAAAAACAAATACTTCTACGCAAAACTTTAATCGTGCAAACTTAAAAAAATACTCAACTGAAATAATTTAAGTATATTTAATAATTTGAATCGTATCTGTTTATAATAAACGTTCGTAAAAATTTGTTTATTAAAAATTAAGTTCCTTAACTTATAAACAAACTCAAAAGTATTTTCATTCTACGTATAATTACAAAACTCTTTTTTTCTTCTTTTGTAAGCAATTTAACTTAATAAAATAAAAAAAGAATAAATATAAGGTAATCTTTGTTAAGAACAAATTTAATTTATTTATTGAACTATATTTTTATTTTTAATTATATATCAACTTAATTAAAATATAGTAACATGTTAAATTATTTTAACATGACTTGTGTTACTTATAAACCGTTGGGCAGTTGCCCTTTTTTTTTGGATAATAGTTTTTGGATAATATTTTATTTTGATGAAGATCACATAATTTACATTTGATTTTAATAACGTAAGTCTTCTCTTTTTCTGTGATCATCGCATCGGCAAAGCATTGGCAAAATCACAAGATTTAAAAGTTTTTAAAGTAAATCTTTTGTCCTTCAAAATACGATCCATATTCGAACATTAAACAATTTAGAGATAATAGAAATATAATAAAATAAGGTTTTTATATACTAGTTTGTTTTGTTTTATAAAGAAAAATACATATTCATTAGTTAAAAATGGAGACTGTCATTAAACTAAAACGTGCCTTAGTATTTATTTAACAGAACCTGTAATGTGCGCGTGCATAATAAAACCTCCGTTATATAAATATATTCAACGTAATATTAGTGTCATCAGCGGATGTTGTAGTCTACTCATGATTTCTTTACCTTATAATATAACTTGATTTATGAAAAAAAACAACTTATTCAATCGCACGCAGAAAAAATTTAACAAATTGTCTTCATTCAAATATTGTGAGTAATAGGTAATTTTTTTTTTCTGTGCCGACCCCCTCCTCCTGCATAACTTAAAGGTAAAGGTATCTATATACCTTTAACTAATAAGAAAAGCAAAGACATTTTTTTTAATATCTCAAAAAATGTCTTGATATTTTTGTTATCATGATAACAAAAATATAAAGACATTATTTGAGATATTAAAAAAAATTTCAATTCTTAATTACAAATTTTTTTGCAAATGTTTTTTATTATAAATTCAGTAAAAAATTCTTTAAAAATCTATATTACAAAAAATATTTATATTCTGTATTAATAAATATGGAATATAGATTTTTTTAAAGTTTTTTACTGAAAACTTTAAAAAATTACTACTTTTTATTAAAAACATTGCAAAATATTTGTAGTTAAGGATTGAAAAACAATTTTTCATGTTGCTAAATATTTGGATAAAAAGTTTAGCGTCAAATTAATTGATATAAAAAGGAAAGATATATCGCGATGAAAAGTTACAACAATTATTTGTAAAGTAAATTTTTTTTTTTCAACTTAGTTTGTTAAATTTATTTATTCATAAAATATACGTATAAACGTGAAGAAATTAAAATAAAAAGAACTAAAGAAATAAATCACAGAATGACATCTCATTAATATCTATATATTAATTTTTATATTTATATAAATGGATTTAAAAATCGCAAGAACTTTTTAATTTATGACCTTTCATATGTCTAATATCAACCGCTGCGCCAATCCAATTTTTGACATGTTTTTGGGCCAAAAAGTCTTCAATTAACTGACCATCAAGCTTTATACGCATAATATATTCTAAGATGTCGTCATTTAATGAAGTTCGCAAAATATTTTTGTGTAAGTTCATACAAGAAAAACTTAGTTCGCAACTTGCCGTTGAAGCTCTGAAAGTTAGCATAATCTCTAACAAGATATTTATATTTGCCAATTCAGGTTCATTTTCCAGCAAGATATCTCTATAAATGCTTAAAAGTGAATTGTCCTTAGTTTAGAGACTTTCTCCCAGAATAAAGGCCACTGCAATACACATAAGTTAGAAGTTTCTCTGCTTATCATATTATTGTTCTCATTAAAGTTGCAAAGCTTTTTATTTCATTAAATCCTCATTTTTTTTGTCTCTAGCGAACCTGTAAAAGATTTTGGCCAGTTTCCACAATCAAAGAATGTGGTTAAAGATTTTAATGGCTCTTGATTGAAATCGCGGCAGAATCGCTTATCTATATATTTTTTTGCTTCGTCAATAATTTTAAAAAAATATTTTTTATCATAATAATCAAAATAATCATTTGGTTGTTGTCTAACAATCTCATCAATTCTCTTTAAATTATGCTTTTTTAATGCTGTTAAATCAATACCTTTGTAGATTAACTGATCTTCTTTTACTTCTAAATTATCTAGTAAACGTTCAATATACATGCCTGGAGTAACTGATAACGCATCTAGTACAGCAATTCTTGCCATCAACTTTACGCAAAATTTCACAAATTAAAATTTCTTCTTTTTGAAACTCCAATGACAATGTTGTTAGTGATTTAACAAAATCTTGAATAAAATGTAAATAAAATAAAAATTATGGGCCTTTCATGAAACATAAAAATCCTTTAGCTTTCTGTGCAGTTTTGTCTTTTTTGTTTGGCTTGCTTTCTAAATCATAAATAATAAATTTATAGTCAGTTTCAAGCAATCTTAAAGCCTTTCCCGGCTAGCTAATCAACGAATATTTTTCAATCTCTCAAGTTTTTTGAACTCTTCGTCTAAAAAAGAAGCTATTTCTTTCAGTTCCTTTCTTTGCTGCAATGAATATTAGTAAAAACTAAACAACTATTGATTTTGTCATCAAACTTTGTTAAATAAATATCAAACTTTATTAAGTCTAACACATAAAGTTCTAATCTATGCGCCATGCAGTGGGTATATACTATACTTGGTTTTTATATCGCATTTTAGTTTGAACACTAGCTTTATTGCTAGACATTACAGATGCACTTTCAAAGTTAACATCAACAGTTTTTGCATAGATATTGTTTAAATATAAATCTTGATTCATTTTATCTATTGTTAAACTTTTTAAAACAAATTCTATTGCATTTAATATACCATCGGCATCAACTGTCAGTGGTGAATTAATACCAGCAAATATAGTTATTGGATTATCTTTTTTTTTTAAATAAAAAAACTGTTTCTTATTGCATTTAATATACCATCAGCATCAACTGTCAGTGGTGAATTAATACCAGCAAATATAGTTATTGGATTATCTTTTTTTTTTAAATAAAAAAACTGTTTCTTATTGCATTTAATATACCATCGGCATCAACTGTCAGTGGTGAATTAATACCAGCAAATATAGTTATTGGATTATCTTTTTTTTTTAAATAAAAAAACTGTTTCTTATTCACTAATACTTTTATCATTAGAACGGTCAGATAAAATTGCAATAAAACGAGCATTTGATATGTCTAAACTTAATTCGTGTTTTAAGTCAGAAGAAATTGAGGAAATAAAGTTTTTGCAAGATTTGTCACTTAAGTAGATCTTGCCCAACTTAATTCCATTTAGCTTTTGTAGCTCTCACAGCTGAAGAAATTTTTTAAATGCAAGATTTTTCTTAACAACAAAATACGATATCCAAAAAAGTCTGTTCAATTCTTCTTGCTTATTTTCAGTAGTTCTTAAAATTGATGTCGATACAGTTTTCTCAAAACTTAGAGCTATATTGTGAAGGTTCTCTTGATATTTAGAAATCCAGGCTTAATGCCCATCATATTTATTGTGGCGTAACAAACATGTTCTTTTCAAAAATTAACATCCCATTGTTACTGAATTGGTTGTATTGCTAATATTTTGATACTTTTTGTAAACCCAGCAAGAGAAACACTCATTTGATTTGTCAATATGAATCCAGCTTAGTTGTTACCTGTGTTTTTTATTGTTTGGCCGAAATCCATTTACGGTGTTCCAAAACATAAATTCAATACCTTTTGACCATATGTCCAATTTTCCCAAAGTCATAACACAATCCAAGTCATTGCACTTTTTTTCGCATGTTTAGTTTCTCTCTCTTCTTCTCCTTTACGTTTATGCTACACTCATCTGTACCATCTTTCTTTAACATCAAAAAGATGCTTAGTTGTTTTGACATTTTTTCAAAAACTTTAAAAATAATAGCATATTAAGTATTTGATAACAAATTAATAAAAATATCATATTATTGGTATTGTTAAATGCACAATAAAAAAATTAAAATTATAATAAACATGATAACTTTATATATTAGATTATGTGTATTTTTAAGCAAAACTTGAAAATTATTTTAAAACTTTTATAAGTTTTTTTAATATGCAAACTAACATTACTTCACAAAAAAAGAAAAAGAAAAGCACGCTATTAAAAAAAGCAATTGTTAAGTTTAAGCATGGTTTTTTTAAAGGTAATTGCAAACGCAGTCATTTAAAGTAAAGTTTTGAATGCTTTTTTAAACGCATGCAAAAACCATGCTCAAACATAATTACTTTCTTCATTTCGTTTAAGAAAGTAACTTTAGCGTGGTTTCTTTTATAGTCTTTGAAAATGAGTTAAAAATTTTTGTAATTAATTCTTTTTTTATAATAAATAAAAAACGATTAACGGTTAATTATTTGGAAAAAAAATTGCTTTAGTAACGGGTTCGTTTTGAAAAATTTTAAGCGAATGCCAATGTTTGTGGAAGGAAAAGTAAATAAACGTGACCTTCGTTTTTCAGTCTTTTTTTGTGCAGACATTCGCATATTCATCGATTTTTTGCACCCTGTACATACATACATACATACATACATACATACATACATACATACATACATACATACATACATACATTAATACATACACACACATGCCACAGTAACTCACCTGTTTCCAATCAAAATCAGACTTTAACTTTGACATTCTCTGTCTTGAGTTTGTTAAGTCGCCATTAGGAGAGTAAAAAAATGAAGATGAATCACTGAACATTTTGCAAAGCTCCTTAATAAAAAAAAGAAATAAACATAAAAATACTCAAGGTAAAGTATAACAGACAGCTATGCGGTTAGCTTGATTTTTTCTTGTGATTTTCTTGTTTATTCAATGTTGTTTGGTTGTTTATTTTGACCTTAAATGCAATTATGCCTGTAAAATCTGGAGGATTTCAGGTCGACACAAGAGTGCTGTACTTAGCTGCTGTCAGGTCAGCAAAGTTTTGCTCTTGATTTTTTACTTCCTGTTACAAGAGTTTATGATTTATTTATTATAAAAACATTTAACAAATGTTTTTGTGTAACACTGTAGCGTTTCTTATTTTTAATTGCTTTAATAAAAACTCTCAACTTGTTTTAAATTTAAAAAAGTTAAATGTGTTTCTTAATTAATGTTTTTTAAATAATATGATAAACACATGTGTTTAACATAATTTAACTATACTAAGTTTCCCTATTAAACTTTCTGATCTTAAATAACATTAAAATAGCTGTAAACATGTTGATAAATAGTTTTATCTAACAAAGTAAACTAATATAGATTTTAAAACTTAATAATTGTGCTGAAATTTTGAGTAAAAAAGGTGTGAGAACAAAAGAAAATTGAAAAGTAAATTACATTAACTTTTAAATGAACTATTTAAAAAAATTGTCTGACTTGAAAAAACAAATAATTACAACAAAAAAGTTATGAACTCATATTGAATGAATATTTTATATTTATTACGTATATTTATTTTTGCATGCTGACACTTTCAGAGAGGTTGGCAGTAGCATGCCACAGTAAAACAAAGATAAAATGGCTTTTGTGTTGACATTGCTGACTGCTGTGGGCTGAATTATTACTCAAAAAAGATTTATATCAACATTAAAGCATCATTGAAACATTAAAACGACATTGTAGCAGTTACATTGTAGCATTAAAACGACATTGTAGCAACCAACAGTTGTCTGATAAAAAATCAGTTTTGAAATAACATAAATTTATCTAAAATTAAAACAACAAAAAGTTGTCCAAACAATGAAACACAACATACATCAGTAAATTGTTGAAGAATTAAAATACAACTTATATCAGTTAAATGCTAAAGAAAACAAAGCACAAGCTACATCAGTATATTGTTGAAGAAAACATATCTTATATCAGTAAAGAATAAAGAACACAACATACACCAGTAAATTTTTGAAAAATACAAAACTTACTTAATAATATCATTAAAGAAAACAAAAAACAAAAACAAAAACACAAATTACATCATGAATTATCAAAGAATAAAAAACTCAACTTACATCTGTAAATCGTCTCTCAAGTTTATCTTTATCTTTTAAATCTTTATTAAATATCTAAATTAAAAAATATACTTTAAAATTTATATACTAAATAATTTAATATTCTCTATGCATTAGAGTTTGTCACATTCAATCAACTTTCAAACCAAAATACTAAAGTTTCGTTTCTTAAAACTGTGAACAATTAAAAATATTTACAATTTTTTTTTTGTATTACTGTTTCAACTGTGAGGTAGTATAATTAAGGTAATTAATTAATAAATATATTATAAATATTAGTTAAATTAAACTAATTAAATTTAAATGAATCATTTTTTTTTAACATCTTCACTTCTAACAAGGCTGCAAGCAACTACTATTAGAGTTGGAAGTTACTGGAAGAGAAAAGATGAAATTTATAGAGCAAGATAACGATTAACAGACAAGTTGAAAAATTGGAAATTATATGAATCAGAAAAACAATATGAAGAAAAGGAACTCCAAAGAACTGATGTTCGAGGAAAAAAACTAGAGGAATAAGAGTATTTGGAATATTTAGGAACAGTCATAGAAAAAGGATGAGACTTAATTGAATAACGAGCAACATGAGAATGAATTTTAGTAGATGGCACAAGAGACGCTAGGTCTTTCGAGCAGTGCCCATTATAGTATTTGTAGAAAAGAGAAAGAGAAGCAACATTACAACGATGTGAAAGAGGTTGAAGATTGGCTGCAAGAGCAGGTCCAACTATGTTTACTATGCATTTTTGCACCTCGTCTATAAGAGAAAGGGCATCATTAGAAGATCTGCCCCAGATATGGCAACAGTATTCCATAAAAGGACAGATTTGAGATTTATAGAGATAAAGAATGGAATCCTGAGAAAGAAAGTGGCAAGCGTGATAAAGAGATGCAACTTTAGCAGATACTAATTTTGTAATAGTTTTGATATGGTTGAAAAAGATAAAGGGTAGATGACTTATTGAGTACATTACTGTCTGTAAATGTAGGAAGAGAAATGCTACAGAGAAAAACTGGGTCAAACTGCACACCATATCATTCCGCACACTGATCGAAATTATCAAATAAAAAACTAAACAGATATAGATATGAAAATAAATAAAAATAGATTCAAATATCTCCTCTATTTGAATTAATAAAATTATATTCTATCTCCTCTATTCAAATTGATAAAATTATATGCCAATTCAACTCCATTTTTTCCTTTTTTTATACAACTTTAGCGGGAAGTCAAAATTATTTATATATTTTTTATTGTTGCGAACAAAATGCGCTATTTTGTTGAACCAAAACTGATATAAAAATAATTTTAGCACTATCTTATTGGAAATTTAATTTTAATTCTGATAGTATAATTTTTATGCAGCTAGAACAAAAAGTTAAATAAAAAATCAAAAAAGTAAAAAAAACTCTTTTTTCTGATAAAACTGCACACTCGATTAATTACAAAATTTAGTTTTTCGTAAATGACTAAGCGCCAATCTTTATCTAATTAACTTGTGTTAATTAGATAAAGATAGGTGCTTATTTCTGGTTTAATTAAAAATGAACTATATTGTTATTTGTTAATATAATCATCTCTTACTCATTAAAAACCAGCTATTATATTATTTCTCAATATAATCATCACTCAATCAATTAAATTTAACTCACTCTAACATGTCAACTAAAAAAACAAAAAGCATACAAGGAAGACAACACACTAGCTGCATTAACTGATATGAAAGAAAATAAAACATCACTGAGAAAAGCTGCATTCAAACATGGCATTCCAGTCTCAACGCTCAAAGATTGCAAAAATAACAACAATGGCTTCCATGGCTCAGGTACAATAAAGATATTTCCAAATGAAACAGAAAGATTGATGATGCATGCGTTCCAATTACTTGGTGACTGGGGTTATGGTTTAACCCAAAATGAAATCCTAGAATTTGTAAGTGGCTAGATCAATAAAGCGCGAAGATCAATTGCACTTATTCAAAAATGGCAAGCCTGGTAAAGACTGGTTTTATACCTTTATGAAGAGATAATCAAAAGAAATTTCAACAAGAAAAGCAGATAACTTAGCATCTAAAAGAGCCACTTCTTGAATTTTGAATGCGTCACCAAGCAATATCAACAGACTGGTATAACCTCTGGATCGCATAATTGGAATTGTGATGAAACAGGTTTTTTGGATGATCAAGGCAAAGCAACTATATTATGTCGAAAAGGAATAAGACTCACATTTAAACTTACTGGCAACAATGAAAAATTCATTATACTGTAAACAATTGCTGCAACGCTGATAGGCATTTTGCACCACCCTTTTTGAGATATACAAAGCTAAAAGAAACTTTGGTCCTGACTGGGCAAAAGGTGGTACAGTTGGCACAAAATATTGAATTTCAAAATCAGGTTGAATGGAGCACAATACATTTATTGAATGGCTGAAAAAAGTATTTACACCTGAAACTGAGCAAATTAGTGGCATTCATCTTTTAGTATTAGATGGGCATACAACTCACATAACTTTGGAAGGGGTATTGCTGTGCAAAAAATACAATATAATCTTGATTTGTCTAACAGAGCATTTTTCACATATTCTACAACCATTGGATAGAGGTGTTTATTGTCATGTCAAACAAGCATGGAAAGAAATTCTTACAAAGTATTACAAAGACTCAAAGTGTAAGAACTTAAATAAACAAAATTTTCCACCATTGCTCAAACTGCTGTACAAGAGTGGTAAATATTTTACACGCTTGCATGCAATCTCTGGTTTCCAGTACACTGGCTTATTTCCACTTAATAAAAACAACAGAAATCATAAGGCATTAGCAATCACACAAACATTTAATATACTTTCATCAACTTTAGCAGCCTTCGCAGCACCTACATCATCATACTCAGACACAGCTTCATCATCTTCAATAGCCGCCGCAGCACCTACTCCAACTACACACCGATTACCATCTTTCTCAACTACACTAGCTTCAAGTTTTGATAGGTATCAAGCATGTGTTGAGCGTTGCAAAAACAGTATCGAAATAGAGTTGAATCAATCACATGTTAAGAAATTGAAGCAGTACAACATGTCAAAACTTGGCAGAAAATGTATTAACGAAAAAAATGTGATCGAGTTCCTTAAACAAAAAGATGAAGAAAAAGCAACAAAGGAAGCCATGAAAATTGTTAAACTTAATGCAAAGCATAGGCTCTATGTCAAGTACTCAAATGCCTGAGCATAACAATGTTGAGCAACCGTGTAGAGTTGAGTTAAACACAGAAATGTTGAGCAAAAAGTGTAGAGTTGAGTTACACACAGAAATGACGCAATGCAAGAATGGGAACGATTGTGCAAAGAAACATGTTTACCAATGTGAATATAATTTTTATTATTTGTTTTGAAATTGTTTACAAGTTCTTTATTAAATAATGGACAATGAAATTTACCATCTTTTATTGTTCAATAAAAATTTAATTTTTTTTAAACTTGGGTAAGGTGCTAATAAAACTTATAGTCTTTTAGTAAACAGGTTCATATATTTCATTTTTACTGTCATAAATTTAAAAAACCTATAACAATTATAATCAATAAATAAAGAATTTTATGACTAATATTTATATAAAACTATCATAGAATAATTTTAATCACTAAATAGTTGTCTGACTTCATGTTTGAACTAAAAACAATGATGTAATTTGTTTTTAATTCAGACAAAATCGAAAACTTGTTTTAGTTTTGATTTTTATATAAATGCAAAACGTACAATACAAAATGTAAAACTTAAAACAATACAAAACTTAAAGCAATACAAAATGTAAAACTTAAAACAGCTTATGTCAATTCTAAATAATACATAATAATATGTTATATATATATATATATATATATATATATATATATATATATATATATATATATATATATATATATATATATATATATATATATTTATATATTTATATATTTATATATTTATATATTTATATATTTATATATATATATACATATATATATATATATATATATATATATATATATATATATATATATATATATATATATATATATATATATATATATATATATATATATATATATATATATATATATATATGTATATATATATATTTACACCTTCGCTTTCAACATCTTTGCTGTCAACAAGGCTGCAAGCAACCACTATAAGAGTTGGAAGTTACTGGAAGAGAAAAGATGAAGATTGTAGAGCAAGATAATGACTGAAAGACCACTTAAAAGATTGCAAATTAGGAAAGCAAGATGAAGGAAGCGAATTCCAAATAACTAATGTTTGAGGAAAAAAAGTAGAGGAATAAGGGTTTTTGGAGCACTTAGGAACAGTCACAGAAAAAGGATGAGACTTAATTGAATGACGAATCACACAAGAATGAATTTTAGTAGATGGCACAAGAGAAGCTAGCTCTTTAGAGCAGTGCCCATTATAGTATTTGTAGAAAAGAGAAAGAGAAGCAACGTTACGATAATGTGATAATGGTTGGAGGTTGGCTGCAAGAGCAGGTCCAACCATGTTTACAATGTATTTTTGCACCTCGTTTAAAAGAGAAAGGACATTATTAGAAGATGCACCCCAGATATGGCAGCAGTATTCCATACAAGAACAGATTTGACATTTATAGAGATAAGGAATAGAATCTAAAGTAAGAAAGTGTCGAGCTCGATAAAGAGATGCAACCTCAGCAGATTCTAATTTTGCAATGAATTTGATATACAGTTTCCAAGAAAGATCGAAAGTAAGAGTTAATCCTAGAAGATGAAGGGTAGATGACTCATCGAGTTCATGAATATAGAAAGATCTTAATTATTGCAATAACAATTGGCTGAAAAAAATTGAGTTTTACCTGAATTAAAGTTCACCAGCCATTGCGAGCCTCATGCTGTAGCAGAAGTGAGATCCTTTTCAAGCTCAGATGCCCCTCCAAGCAATCAGAGAGTGTTGGCTTCTAATCATGACAAGAATAAATGGTAGTATCATAAATCTTGCTTATGATAGGAAGAAGACTATTGGGGTGGTAGTTAGACAAGCCAGATTGCTCTTCCGAATTTTTGATAATAGGGATAACAGATGCAGCTTTCCAGCATGCCGGAAAACAAGACTCTGATAAGCACTTATTAAATAGTTTTGAAAGTATCGATGACAGCCCTGGAGAACACTTCTGCAAGACTACAACAGGTATGTTGTCTGGACCACAAGCTGTATACACAAATACAAAAACACATTTAGATTGGGAATCTGATGTCATACTGATTCTTAAGTACATACATCAATTTGTCAATCTAGTTGCTGCTACATAAACTAAAGGTTTGGGTTGAGGCAGGCATAAGTTTTTTTTATTATTGTTTATTTTATTTCTTCTTTATGCGTTAAAAAAAACTATATAGAACTAGGTTGACAAAAAAAATTGGTAAATTTAAATCTATATACACAAGTGTTGTAATGACTATTAAACAATTTGACAAAAATTGACTAATACATTCTTTAAATCGATTAAGTCAACTAAAAGTCAATTTAGTCGTAATATAGAAATAATTTATATTTTTGAAGCAAATTGTAATAAAAATAATTTATATTTGCTTTCTATTTTTTAACATCATATCATTTATATGTTAATAGAGCAAGACAATATGGGGAAAAGGCCACTCCAACAACTGGACAATTTATTCCAAGACCTCAATGATTTAGGGACTGCCTTAAATACTTGCTATATATCAAAGTCCTTATCATATTTACAATGTAATTGTATAGATGGCATTCAGATTTTGGAGCTTTACAACTTAATTTTACTCCAGGGCTCAGAGCCAGCTTGGAGCGGCCCTAAATGAAAGTGTTTATGAAAATCAAAAGCATCATCTAAAGAAAAGAAAAATATAAGTAATAATTGAAATACATAGCCGAAAGTTTAATTGGGTATAATTTTTTTCTCTGTTATTAAGGTGCTCCTAGAAGTCATTACGGTCTTACCACAGAGCACCATGGAAGAGCATAAATAATGCTCTTCCATGCTATGAACTAGATTCAAAATTTTTTGGGGAGAGTGATGATAGTGAAGATGATAATGATAGAATGATAATGATAATCAACATTTTTGAATTTTGTTTTTTATTTTATTGCCTTTAATTCATAAGTATTCTTGTGAACTTCTTTTTTATTTTAATAAAGACTATATTGTGTTAAAAAAAAATATTTGTAATATATATATATATATATATATATATATATATATATATATATATATATATATATATATATATATATATATATATATATATATATATATATATATATATATATATATATATATATATATATATATTATTATGCATTATGCAAATTTAATATATAAAAGAAATTAACTTTTAGAAGCATCTCCATCTTTTTTATTTTAATAAAGACTTTTGTGTTAAAAAATTGTGTTTGTGATTGTGTTAAAAAAAAATATTTGTAAAATATATATATATATATATATATATATATATATATATATATATAATATATATATATATATATATATATATATATATATATATATATATATATATATATATATATATATATCACAATGACCTATTGCTGCATTTAAAAAACAAATAGCGAATTTCAATTAAATAGCATTATGTAAATTTAATATATAAAAGAAATTAACTTTTAGAAGCATCTCATGATTTTAAATAAGTGCATTTACATTAGGTATTTACATGAAAGATATAATTCTATTTGAAAACATGACCCTGCTTTATTTTAATAATAACAATTCAATTCAAATCGATATTTTTTCAAATGGGTTTAAATCATGGTTTAAACCATTGGGTTTAAACCTATAAACCCTGTAACATAGATATAAAACAAAAAAACAAACAAAAAGAACAGCCAAAATAATTTAATACGTTTCGCTTATTTATGTTACTTGCACCAGATTTTATTGTGTTCCAGGTATTCTGAGCTCTTTGATAAACAACATTGTCACTGTTTAACAATGATGAATGTTTTCCACATTCCTGAAAAAACAAAATTCACTAATTTAAAATAATCTTATTAAAATTATTTTATAATAGAAAAACCATAATAAGATACCTTGAGATTATCAAAATCATTTAAATCTGCAGTGTCACAAGTTAATGGAACTGTAATAACTTTGGTAATATTATAAACTTCAACCCCTCCAGGCAAATAGCCAACAAATGTTTGATCGGCTATTAAAACTAACTTCCATCCACATCCTAAATAAACATTAAATGTTAAATGAATTGCACTTTAAATAACATTATACTATGTTCAAAAAAATGAGGTCTCATATATATATATATATATATATATATATATATATATATATATATATATATATATATATATATATATATATATATATATATATATATATATATATATATATATATATATTTATATATATATAGATAGATAGATATATATATATATATATATAATACTTTTGCAAGAGCCGTAAATTGCTCCCAAAAGCCGTTTTAGGGGAGTGTGTGTGTATATATATATATATATATATATATATATATATATATATATATATATATATATATATATATATATATATATATATATATATATATATATATATATATATAATTATTATTTTAGGTTTCACTACCTAGAAAATGACATTTTTTGACTGAAAATAAAAAATATGCATTTTTACAAAAAAATTTGGAATTTTTTTTTCTTAATGTTATTTATAAAATAATTATTTATGAAATTTTTATAAAATTTTGCTTCTTTTGAGATCCAACATGATATACTTTTGAAGAACTTTTTTTTAGATAATATTGGGGGCCTGTATGATGTTTAAGAGACTTGAGTTACTCCTAAAAAAATTTTTTTTTTCAAAAAAATTTTAATTCCAGTATTATTTTATTATATAGAACCAAGGAGATATAATAGAATGGAGGGAGAACAAAACCGAAAATTGTTTAAAACTGTTGTTTAAAGTTAGTAGTTGTATAACTATTCAAGCAGCAAGTCAAAATGGTGTCTGTGCGTTGAAAAATGAAAATTTTGAAACGTTGTTTGTAACCTTTAAAAGCTTTAATCAAAATGAATTACTTAAAGGTTGACTGGTTTTTAACAACTGTTCTAACTACCAAGTAGTAATAACAACAAAAATCATGATCTACATCAAGTAATTGTTTTTTGAATACCTCAATACTAGGTATAATTAAAGTTTAATTATACATAGTATTGAGGTTTAATTATACCTAGGTATAATTAGAAAATCTTAACTAATGGATGAACATTATCTTTTGCTTTCCCAATTAGCTATAGGTTTGTTACATTCTTAAAGAATAATTTTTTGGCAAGGAACTTATTATATCTCTCCAGGATTTTATTTTGTGTTATAGTATTTTTGCTGGATTTAAAAACAAATTGATATATTTTAAATATCGAGATATGAAATACATTTTTGTAAATCCGGAAAAAACACTACCAATTCTTATTAAGACAATTCTTTAATAAAACACTACCAATTCTTATCAAGACATTTATTAATTCAATTCTTATCTAGAAATGTACTATTAGTCGTTTAAAAAGCACAACATAAAAAAAAAAAAACGATAAACTAACTCTAAACATTGTTTACAAATTTTTTAAACTTCCATATATTTTTTTTACTTTTGTTTCCATTGCAAATATATATATATATATATATATATATATATATATATATATATATATATATATATATATATATATATATATATATATATATATATATATATATATATATATATATATATTTGCAATGCAAATAAAAGTTTTGCTTATGTCATTTTGAAAGAATATTGTTTGATAATTTTTATTATATTATGATAATTACATGGTGTTTAATAGAAAATATTACTACTAAGATTATTACTTGAGAAATTTTAACTTCGTTCTCCCTCCAGACTATTATAATTCCATGATCAAACACATTTAGATAATGTGAACAGACTTTTTTTGAAAAAGTTGTTTTTGGACAACTCTAATATATATCAGTGCCGTACCGAGCGTTAGTTAGGGCGCTACCGTTTATACAAATTTTTTCCTCTCACCAACCTCTTTGATATGAAAGCCTCCATAACAGAGGGACAATTTTTTCGATGAAATAATGTTAGACATTACAAATGTTGTAATTTAAGATATGTGGAGTTTTTAGTTTGAATGCACTAGTAAAGGTATAACAAGGAAAACAAACTTTGTTGTTTTACTCAAAGCTCGTCATCTACATGTTAGCCAGTCTCTCAAAGTCTTTAAAATATACGCCGCAATCGATAATTTATTTAAGCATGTTTAATTCCAAAGAGTTTTTGTAAATGACATCATTTTAGAATTTTGATAAGAAATCTGATAATTCTTTTTTTTTTTATCAAATTATAGAATTATTGCATAAAAGTTTTTTCTTCATCATAAATTACTGTAGAATTTCTTAAGTTATTTTATTTTCTAAATTTCACAAAGTTCGCATTAAAAATATGAATAAAATATTACAGATATTTTAAACTCGTTTATTGCTATAAATTATTTTTGCATTATATTTATTGTTATTAAATGATTATTATCTTTATTAAGATTCTGTTAAAAAAATTATTTTTTATTATTTAACACTACCGCAAGCCTCTGAGAGCGGCTTTTGATTTTTTCAAATTTTGACCGCAAGCCGCTGGTAGCAGCTTTTAAGTATGCTTCACAATTTATCTTGTTTTGTACATAAATTTTCACTTATAGACACATAATTTGTTTGTTCATAATGTTTAGTTAATTCTCTACATGATCAAGAACAGCCATATTGTGTTATTATAAAAAGTTATTACTTGACAAAGTTAAAAAGTCTTGAGTAATCTTTGATTAACTTCAAATTTAGTTTTAAAATAAAACAGCATTAACACTGTAAAATTTAACTTGTAGAAGTTTATAAGTATTTAACTAAGTAATTAAAAACGTATTTTGAAGGAAAAAATTATTTTTATACATAAAAATAAGTTTTGTTTTAATTACTATTTATAAAAAAATACATATTGACCTAATTAGTGATTTTGCCGGTTATCCGGTTTTGCGGTTAACCAGATTTTGTTCGAATATCAAATATCTATTTTCGAATAATAAAAACCGACTTATAAATTTTACAAAATTTTATAGAAAGTAACATCGTAATTATGACGATTATTGTTTGACAAATGTTAATTTATCAAAGATTATAATATATTTCTTTTATTAATTTAAATGTTAATTTAATCAGTTTTGTTTGATAATATATTCTTAAAACAATTTACAATAGAAATCTCAAAGATTTATTACTTTTACAACTCAAGCAATACATTTTTAAGAAAGTTTCTTCAGAATATTATGGAACTCTAATTCGCTTATTTAGCGTATTTTTTGAACCAATAGAATTTGTTTATTCGTAGATTTGGCGGTATTTTAGTGTTAGCAAATATTCTTTATATTATCTTTACGCAACAAGTTGTTTTGAGAACATTCAAGTTTATCTCCAAGTTTCCATCTATGTCCGCATAACAATAAGTTTTTAAAATACACGCTAAAAAAATTTACTTCGTAACAGCTCATTTTTCCAAATCAAATGTTTTTATATGAGAGAATGATTTTAAAACATCCGCTGATATTAAAACATTTAAACTATACTTGTACATTATTCCTACCTTTTTTAATTATATAATTAAAAAGGTATATCATATTATAATATAAAAAAAATATATATCTTTTTCCATGTTTTGTTATAAATATATAATATAGGACTGTATTCACTGTCTTGAAAATGTATACTTTAACATTAATTTTTAAAAAATTAGTTTAAAATGCTACGTTCGTTGAAATTTAGAAGATCCTGTATTCAGAAAGCGTCACTAATTTACCGAATAGTCGGTTAACCACAATTGATGAGAACTGTTATCCGGTTTTTGAAATGGATAACCGACGAAATCACTAGACCTAATGTTTTAATTACTATTTTAAAAAAAATGGTTTTATAAATAGTAATTAAATCATTGAACAATAAAAAATGCAAAGTGCTTAACACTTTGCATTTCTTATTGTTCAATAATGCATGTTAAAAACCCTAATTAAACAGTTCATTTGTTTAGCTTTCTATTGATATATAGTTTGCTATACTATAAAAAGAGATTTGCTATTCGAATTTTATGCCATCCAAATTTTATTCAAAAAGATTTGCGGTTGCTGCGTATAGATTTTTGAGATTAAAAAAATAACTAAAAACTTAAGTATTCAGCAAAGATCTCTAATAAATTATGTTATTTATTAATTAAAAATTTAGGAATTTGTAAAATGTCATTTTGGTAGGAGAACAAAAACATCATAGTGATAAACGATTTAGATAAACCAGAGCTGTCATCTATACTTTCAAAATTCTTCAATAAGTGCTAATCAGAGTCTTTCTTGCTGCTGAAAGCAGCATCTATTATGCCTATTTTCAAAAATTCTAGAGAGCGATCTGACTCATCCAACCACCATCCCATTAGTCTTCTATCATAAGCAAGGTTTTTGAGTCTTTAATTAAGAAACACTTAATCTCTCATCTTAAATCTAATAACTTATTTTTTGATCAACAATATGGATTTCAGTCTTCTCATTCTACTACTAATTTGTGAACGGTAATAGCTGATAGGTTTTATCTCCATTAGATAGATGTGGAGAGGTTAGGTTTATCGCTCTCAACATTTCTAAAGCCTTTGATAAAGTTTGGCATGCTGGTCTTCTCCAGCATGCCAAACTTCAATAGTGGCATTAATCGCTGATGATACTACCATTTATTTTTGTCTTGATGAGAAGCCAATGCTCTATGATTGGAGATACTAGATTTATACAATTTATATTATTGATATTATATATACTTTTTATCATTTATATATATATATTGAGGTGGGCAATTTAATGTTAACCTCATTTTTCCTTATTCCAAGGCTGCGTATTAGGGTGGTTCAAAAAACAAAATTAATGGAATATCTGCAGCATGCACCTTAATCTGTTCTATATGATAAAATAACACTGGACTTGAAGGTTTTTTAAATAAAAAAGTTTTTAGGGGTGCCCCAAGAACCTTGAACATTAAATACTACCATCTATTTTTGTTTTGATAAGAAGCCAACACTCTCTGATTGCTGAAAGGGGGCATTTGAGCTTGAAAATGATCTCATCTCTGCTACACCATAGGGTTCTCAGTGGCTAGTGAACTTTAACTCAGATAAAACTCAATTTTTTACAGTTAATCGTTATCGTACTGATCTAGATCTTCCTATATTTATGAACGATAATGTACTCTATGCAAGTCTTCACAGGAAAGACATGCAATTATTTGTCTTGTATGTACACGATTGAGTATTTTATTTTAGACAACTATTAACTTATATGAGTGGTTGGTATTTTCAGCAACAAAATTTAATACAATAAAGCAAAAAAAAAAAAACAGTTTCAAGTCAACATTAAAAAGAATGACTTTTCTATATTTTCTTTGTTTTTTATTTAAAGAGGAAAGCAGAAAAATAAATTGCTATCTGTTTGTAAGATATATTTGTATAATTTTAACATAGTAAGTATACATTGTCCCTATATGAAAACAACTATGTAATGCATGCGTATACTTTTATGTATAACTTTTTTTACAATATAATTATATATATTTGTCCATTTGTACACGCACATTTATATTATTTGAATAAGCTGTATACTTCAAACAAGGAGAATCTGTAGTTCAAATCCCACCAATATCAACTATTTTAAATTGTTTCTCTTTTAAATACCGCTGGTCATATATTTGCATTGTAACCATTTATCTTTCTTTTTTGTATATAAAAATCTTTTTGTTGTGCATTTATGAATGATACACATCTCTTCACATTCAGATTTTTATACCATTTAAGCCTTTCAGAGTATTTTCTAAGTAATATGCACACATATATACAAAGTTTTATTTATATGTGTAGACTGCATAGTCTAATTAAGCTTTAATTAGACTATGCAGACTAAACACACACACATATATATATATATGTGTGTGTGTGTAGTCTGCTACATCGATATATATATATATATCGATGTAGCAGCACTCCCTTGTAGCAGCAGGCTATAAGATGACTATCTTATAGTCTGCTGTAGATGATATAGAAATACTCTGCGCATGTTTTAAAAAAATGTTTTTAAAAAACAAAAAACAAAACACTATTAATTAAAAAAAGCTTTCTAGTCATTATTATTGTGGTTTTTAAAAAAATGATAAAACATAATGTACTTCCGCATTAATTTAATTGTTTTAACTTTTCAACAACAATAAAATGTAGCTTAATTGTCGAGGTAGCAAAACTGTTGTTAAAAGTCTCTTTTGACTTCGAGATAAGGATATATATATATATATATATATATATATATATATATATATATATATATATACATATATATATATATATATATATATATATATATGTATATATATATATATATATATATATATATATATATATATATATATATATATATATATATATATATGTATATATATATATATGTGTATATATATGTATACATATATACATATATATATATATATATATATATATATATATATATATATATATATATATATATATATATATATATATATATATATATATATATGTATATATATATATATATATATATATATATATATATATATATATATATATATATATATATATATATATATATATATATATATATATGTATATCAGGCTTGGTCGGAAATGTTGGAAATAATATTTAGTTGCAAAAAACTGGCCAAATTTTTAAGTCGTTTTGAGAACATTTCAGAAACAAACAAAAAAGCGCAAAAAGATTCACTGGACCAATGAGAGACAGTTAAAAACAGAAAAAAAGATTTTAACGCGAAAAAACTTCAGGCAAAATAAATACAACCAGATTAGAGCAAATATTTTTGAAACGCCGCTATTTTATAATTTTTTTATAAAATTAAGTGACTTTTTTTATATAAAGTAACAAATTACTATTAATGATTGTTTAATAAGGAAACAAATGTTCTCCGATTTATAAAGAGTATATATAATTTTTATTTATATACTTACGTCTTATTTCCAGTGCTGGATTGAGGAGATAGGGGGGGGAGTTGGAAGGACTATAGCCTCGGGATTCACAATGTTAGGGGCCGCGAAATAGTCAAGAGGACCATTCAGTACTTTTTACAGTCATTTTTACGCTGTGGCACATAAAAAAGACCGCCAAAATAATGCAGTCCCTGGCCCTGAAAGGTTCAACAAAATTCAACCAATAAAACTAACGCTAGGTGATTTATTTATTAATAAAAAAGTTTTTTCAATTACTGTTTTATGCTTCGCATAGTTTGAAAATTTTAACACATTTAAAACAATTTTTCTTAGTAAGATGAACAAATGAAATAATTAAATCATTGAGTTAATGTAGAAATTCAATTTTCTAAATAGAAATTAACTAAAAACGTTAAATTACTATGTGAGGAGGAAGCGGAACTGCTTCACAATAACGCTGATGATACGCTTTATAATATTAGTTAGTATTTAAAACAGAAAAAAGTAACATTAAGTTTAAGTAATTAGTATTTAAAACAGAAAAAAGTAACTTTAAGTTTAAGTATAACAAGTTTGTAAGAATGGCTGAAGCAAAAATAATTGAAGTTAGTGAACCAATTTCTAAGAACTTTAAAACTTTTCTTTTTTGGGGGAAAAAATCAGTTATCGGGTACACTGAGAAAAATGGATTAGTGGTTAAAATTATTTGCATTAACTTTGACGATAACTAATTATTATTTACGACTAAAATATCTGGCCGGTTTTTTGCAACTAAATATTATTTCCGTGGTCAGTTATCGAGTGTGATCGCACCCGCTTT